CATCTTAAAGTTTTGCATCTCAAATTTGGTACCTGTGTTGAACAGGAGGAAGCCTAGAATTCGCTTCACAGACGGAACTCGTCAATATAGAAGAGTAACACCTAGATAGAATCAAATCTGGTCAGAGAAGCCAATTGTGCCTTCTTCCCGAGTGCCAAATGTAGATGACTAATGCTGATGACACCACTCGCTTCCTTGTTTTTAAATATCACATGTGCAACACAATGATGCAAAGCGAATTTCATGGAGGGGGGGATAAGACGTATTTGTGTGGTTGAAGGAGCACATGTAAGTACATATTTTGGTGAGGGTGGAAATTGAAATGCATGCTTGGAGAAACATAGTCATAAGCATGTGATGTACAAACTCCATATAATGATATTATGATATGTGTTTTCATAGATAATTTTATTTTTCAGGGCAACGCACGGTCATTCAACTAGATTTAGCTTCCTTGGATTAGGAATAGATCTAGAAGAAGGTGACGTGGTAGGGTTTTTTTGTACCGTCCGAGACAATGAAACAATGACATGGAAGCTACATGCAAAATTAAGGGGCAATAGATTGAGAGGGTGAATGATGTATGGACAGAGAAGGTGATGAACGGCAAGTTTAATGGGAAAGGGCGGCTAGAGGGGTGTGTCATGTTTGTAAGAATAGAGATAAGAATATGCTTGCATTTGTGTTGTGGTTGAACATTGCGTGCAATATGCTCGTTTCTGGGGAGGAAAATGAGCATTGTTTACACAATTTCATTTGTTGGCCCGTGGCAACGCACGGGCATTCTACTAGTTAATCTGATGGTCCAAGGGGGAGATTAATCGATGTTTGGTGTCCAGCGGGGGCTGACCCAGGGCGGTTTGCCGGGACGAACAGTCTTTGATACTGCGCTGTGCGCTGCTGGGTTTTACCGAAATGTGGACACCCCTGCTTGCCCCTATGGTGATTCATGCTATTGGAAAATATAGCCACCAATTTATGATTTACATGCTTTCAAATTTTGATACATTTGTCTTGGTAGTCTGGCATCGTTTGTTTCAGTTTTTCATCAACTTATTTGGATGTAATACGTATGTTGGACTTTTGTATTATTCTTGTGCACATCGGTTATTTCTTATTTGTCTCCCGTCAACTATGCTTGTCTCATCGGCTTCAAGAATGCTTGTAGTGTTGAGATATAGGTGTTGAAGTATAATGTCCGGCCCTTTCTTTCAGATCGGTTTTTTGGTTGCATTGGTTAGAGCATGCACTTCTATATGGTATCAGAGTCAAGAGGTTTTGAGTTCAAGATCCGGCTGGCGCAATTAAATTGCAGCCCACTTTCGGTCCACGTTTAGGCCTGAGAGAGCCACACGTGAGGGGGGGTGTTGACAGCCAAGAGGTCTTGAGTTCAAGACCCGGCTGGCGCAATTATATTGCAGCCCACTTTCAGTCCACGTTTAGCTTTGAGGGAGCCACACGTGAGGGGAAGTGTTGACATATAATGTGCTGCCTAGTCTCTTTCATCAGATCGGTCTTTTGGTTGCATTGGCTAGAGCATGCATAGACGTGAGGGGGAGTGTTGGAGTATAATGTCCGGCCCTCTCTCTCAAATCGGTCTTTTAGTTGCATTGACTAGAACATGCACTTCTACAATAGGCTTCCGGCCCGTGAATCAATTTTAGAAAAATATCGAAAGGCGCATGTGGGTGTCATTGACTCATGACTAGATGATGAGAAATTTAGTACCATCCTAAAAGTGGAGGAAATTTTGGACCTCCTTAAAAGGGATGTATTTCCACATGCTATTGGAGCATGAGAACAACAGTCATTCCCGCGCTCTCCGTTTCATAAACGGGCCGGGCGAAATGTAGAAGTGCATGTTCTAACCAATACAACCAAAAAACTGATCTATGGAAGAGGGTCGGACATTATACTCCAACACTCTCCATCACGTCTATGCTCCTGTGAAGTTTATGACGTGGGCAGTGGAAGCGGGGGTAGGCTGCAATCATTTATTGCGTTTACTGGGTTTTGAACCTTAAACATCTTGGTTATAAGTTTATACATCTAACCAGTTCACTTATCAGACCGATTTTTTGGTTGCATTGGTTAGAACATACATTTCTACATGGAGCTCAAACCTATGTCATGCTTGTGCTTAATTTTTATCGGTTAGAAACAGATAATTAATTCAAAATTACTTATGAATCATTAACGGACGGAAGTGTTTTGAGCTGGGGAGGGGGAGGGGGGACCTTCTCTTTCTTTGCTCTGCTTTTCTTTTCTTTCTTGTCTGAACTGAATGATACATTACAAGCATCTTTCTTTCTTTCTTTCTTCAGAATCCGACGCCATGGTTGGGTTGGATCGCTTCGCTTGTGATGGACTGTAATAATTGGATTGATTTTGGGCGGGCTGACGATCCCGGCGGTGTACGAGAGGCTGAGCATGGAGCGATACATGAGGCTGGCGTCCGTAACCTCTACACATACGAGGTCTTGTACCAGAGCTTCTCCCTCACCTGCTACCTCAGCGCCAGAGACCACCTCATCGAGCTGCTCAAGGAACCATAACCATCACCGACTGATGAATTCCTTGATTCATTCATGAGCGATGATGGACAGGATGATGATGACTTGATGAGACATGCCTCTCAGTTTTTTTATCCACGATTGTTTTGGGCTCTTAGTTTTTTTAGTGTGCCTGCTTAGATTATTGATTTGGTTGCTGCTGCTTACGACTGTTGGTGTTTGTTTGTTTGTTTAACATTTGTGTTGCTTCCTCTGTATGAATTGAATTCTCTTCAACTTTCTTTGGACTGAAGACCCGCCTGAGTTGATAGTGCGGGCTTCCCACCCGAGACTGACTTGCTTACCTTGCACCAACAGCTTAAATCACAGCATCTTCTTAAGCTGTGATGCGATGAAGGTGGAGACCAATCAGACTGACTGCATTCACAATTGCAAACAAAGACCCACCACACATCCACAATTCCATACCTGCTGGATAATCACACGCCTCCAACACCAACACCATACTAAAGGATGGAGATATATATAGATATGATCCCACAAGACCATCAGGCATGGTTCAAACACTGATTATCCACTCCACCCAAGTCTTAGTCTAGCTAGCAGACCATCAAAGATCAAGCTAGGTAGGTTGGTTGGTTCAACGACGCCAACACCACACCACAAACGATAACATGCCGCATTGCCGCACACCCATGGTTCCCAGCGACACCCATACAGCTAGAGTTCATTCTACAGGCACCCCAATACTGCTAGAGTTCCAGGTGCTATCTAGATAAATACATAGATAGGTTTTATACAGACACACACACGGTTCAAGCTCCACTCAAGGAGCTCAACATCATCAAGCTCCTCACTTTCTCGTGCAACCAGAGGCAGCTCCGGTACCTCCCGACACAAACACAAACGATAACATGCCGCACATCCAAAGGTGGCTGGAGTAGAACATATCTAAAACTTGTACCAAATATAACTTACCTAGACCATTGGAGGATATGCACGATCCTCGTAAGGGCATCTCCAGCCGTTGTGCCCTCCAGAAGGCGTTTTTTCGGCCTCCTGGGAAGGCCTCGGCGCTAACTTTGCGTTGGGGTGCAAAAATTTTCCAGCCGTTGTGCCTCCCAGGTTATGTCTTATTTTTTTCTTTTTCGTTTTGTCATTACAACAAACATGTTGTGGGCACTGTCGGGCCACGCGAGCTCGAGCTCGTGGGCGACGACCCCAGCCGACCGGGCGACTCCCTCAGCCGCGTCTCCATCTTCCCCCGCCGCCGACGCGCTGCTCGAGCTCGGCGCGCCCCCCCGGCACCGCCGCCGACGTCCTCCCCGCGCAGCGCAGACTGGCCACGCCGCACGGCTCCTCGTCGCAGCCTCGACGACGCCCCCGTGCTCCACCTCGAGGCGCAGCTCCTCAACGGCTCTCCTGCGACGCTGCTAGGAGCGGGGCGGGGCCGAGCCGTGGCTGCTGCTGCGCATGCACGCGCTGGCTAGCACGCGCGCGGCGGCCTGCGCTCGGGCACGCACGCGAGAGCTTCAAGCACGGCTAGCACGCACGCACGCGAGAGCTCGGGCACGCACGCGACAGCGACGGCCAGCACACAGGGAGTAGGCCAGCCGCGCCGGCCTCTCCGCGCCGAGGCCCAGGAGCAGCAGCAGGACGACGCGAGCCGGAGCCGGAGCGCCCGGTGAGCCGTGCCGTCCTCGTCCTCCGCCGCGTCCTCCTCGTCCACGCGAGCAGCCGGCCAGGGCGAGCTAGAGCTGGGGCGCCCGGCGAGCCGTGCCGTCCCCGTCCTTCGCCGCGTCCTCCTCGTCCACGCGAGCAGCCGGCCAGGGCGAGCTAGAGCTGGTGCGCCCGGCGAGCCGTCCCGTGTCGTCCTCGTCCTCCGCCGCGTCGTCCTCGTCCTCGGCCATGCCGTGGAGCTGGAGCTCGACCGCCCAGCGAGGGCGCCGTGGAGTGCGCGGGCGGAGACGGCCCACTCCGGCCCTCTCGCCCTGCGCCCGTCTCGCCCGGCGGCCCGTTCGTCTAGCCGTGCGGGAGCGGCGAGGAGGCGTGGCAAGGCAAAGAAGACGAGCCCCTCCCCGCCCTGGGCATGCGCGCTCCGCTCCGCGAGCCCCTCCCAGGCCATGCTCCGCTCCGGCTGCGCGAGCTCAAGCCCCCGCGCCCGGCCATGCGTGCGCCGCCATGGCCGCGCGAGCCCTGCTCCGGCTGTGTGTGTGGTGGTGCTGGGGAGAGAGAAGGTGGGGGCCGGGCTGAAAGCGACGGGGAAGGGAGGAGAAGTTGCTGCAGGTGGGCCTTTGCATGCATAAACAAACCGCGGGCGCTCTCAGATGCCTCCGTGGGGGCTGGGTTTCGGGTGATACCGCCGGCGCTAACATTGCACGAAACCGACGAAAAAAGCAATCCTGGGGTGTGAGCGGGGGCTTTTTTCACTGCCGGCGCTCTCAAAGTTAGAAAAAAGGGCCTCTTGGGGAGGCTAGTGGAGATGCCCTAACCAGCATCCAAGTGAGATGGTTCCGCCATAATTCTATCGAACACCGCCGTCAACTTTGACATCATCTCAGACCTCTTGTCCTTCAATATGGATTGCCTGTTCTCCATAATCTCAAGTTTGGCACGCCAGAGGGACCTCTGGGCAAGCCTGTCACGAGCAGCCGCATTGTTTTTGTGTACCATATGCACCTTGATAGGGGACTCTCTGGCCTGGTCCACGCTCAAAGCTAGGATTTTCTGGAAACTGATAATGAAAGGTAGTTCAGCACAGTAAAATAAGAGGATCATTGTGCAGGTTTCAGCTTGACATATATAAAACGCACTGTACAATTTAGACCAATAGATACCCAACTGTATATCTAAAACTTGCACCAAATATAACTTACCTAGACCAATGGAGGATATGCACGATCCTCGTAACCAGCACCCAAGTGAGATGGTTCCGCCATAATTCTATCGAACACCGCCGTCAACTTTGACATCGTCTCAGACCTCTTGTCCTTCAATATGGATTGCCTGTTCTCCAGAATCTCGAGTTTGGCACGCCAGAGGGACCTCTGGGCAAGCCTGTCACGAGCAGCCGCATCAGTCTGTTTTTGTGTACCATATGCACTTTGATAGGGGAATCTCTGGCCTGGTCCACGCTCAAAGCTAGGATTTTCTGGAAACTGATAATGAAAGGTAGTTCAGCACAGTAAAATAAGAGGATCATTGTGCAGGTTTCAGCTTGACATATATAAAACGCACTGTACAATTTAGACCAATATATACCCAACTGTTTAACTACTCATGCAAGACTAGTCTCGTTAGGGCCAGAACCATCAAATATAGAGCTGAATATATTTTTAGACAGACCACTTTGCAAGGACAAGATATGCCATATTATCTGTTCAACTAGTACATCAATCCTTCAATGTAATGCAATCTTCAGGGCATAATTACTGAGCATGTCCAAACTAGACTGTAACAAACCAACAGTAACGTAGCAGATGCAGATGTGATGGCTTATAACATGGGAATGAGCAAACATGTAGGCAAGCGAATTTCATAAGATGTAGTCAACAAAACTGGTTTAAAGTGATGTTCATCCTTACGGGAGGATTTGGATAGATGACGTGTTGTACTCCTGCGTTTCTTTCGTCAAGTGGAGGTCCGTGAGGTCCCAGCAGATCCACCTCAGCATCAGTCTTGAGCACACGGACCTTCAATACTGATGTGCTTGCGTCCACTTCCAGCATCTCCTGGTCAATCCGCTGAAGGGCTTCGGCAAGCATGTTTTTGAACTCCCTCTCTAATGCCCCCTTGGTCTTAGTCTTGCACTCCAACAACTCTGGATTCACAAGTATGAATCCAAGCCTTCCTGGTCGGGTCCTCTCACCAATCATTGCTGCTTCTTGAAGGGGGGCTCGCTCATCCAATTGAAATCGAACCTGATTATGTTGATTCATCTCAGTGATCTGTAGACCTTCAAGCGCAGCGTCAACATCAGCAAGTCTGGAAACTACTGTGACTGGGGCGGCCTTCCTGTAAAAGAAACAACAAAACATGAAGGGAATTAGAATACACAGGTTAAAATCCAGATAAAATACCCTCGAAAAATACAGATAAAATCCAGATAAAATACCCTTCTTGCAGTGATGAAGTTATGTTGTTAAAATCCACTAAATTACAATGAAACTTCAGAGCCACTCCACTATAATTTACAGTGTTAGTTCCGAGGATACACTGGGAATACCCCAACTATTGACAACAAAAATACATAAAGTTAAAAAAGGGAAGAAGACCAGGAATATTTCAATTTCTACTCGTGCATATAGGATAAGAAATAACTACCGTAGACATAGGATAAGAACCATCGTTCGCAAAGTCGTTAGGCACAAAAGGTTCTCACCCACAGAATCTGTACTCTCAAGAGATGATACTAACGGAACGTCCTGATGGGAGACTTTTCGTAGCCTACCCATTAACTAAACCTATAAATAGAATACACGAAGGAGGAAAAAAGAATAGAAGTGAAATAATAGAACGAAGCTCCATACACTTCAGTAAAGAGTACACATGAACAGCTAATGCAACGCTATCTACCAAAACCATCATCAACCTAAAACCGGACCTCACTCAATACTACTGCAACAGAGACACACTAGCATAAGAGAAGAAAATAAAAAGCAAGAAACTAGATGAATTACAGTCCTAAAAGCATGCCAACTATAATGTAAAATCAGAGGTAAACCCACTGACCTATCTGACAAATACTCTGTATGCCCTACAACAATTATAGTGCTCAAGCATTGAAATTATAGTGTAATGCTGTGGTAAATCACAGTGTAAGCCCTCCAATTCAAAGGTAAAATCCATTGTAATCTATTTGACAAATACTTAGAACAATTACAGTGTTGAACCATACAAAATACAGTGTAAAACTGTGGTAAACTACAGTGTAAGCCCTACCACAACTCAGGTGTAAATCCACTGTAATCTATATGACAAATACCTACAACAATTACAGTTCTGAAGCATATAAATTACAATGAAAATATGGGGTATATTACAGTGATGAAGCATAGAAAGTACTCTATCTGAAAAATACTAAAAGACTACAACAGTTACAGTCCTGAACCATGCAAATTACAGTGATATAACACAGTGTAACGATGCAACAATTACAGTTATTAAGCATATAAAACACAATGAAAATCTGGAGCGTATTACAATGCAAATCTAGGGTTGGTAAATTACAGTGCAATTTTAAGCAATATTACATTAGAATCCTGTCCTATATCACAGTGTAAATCAGAATTAAATTCCACTGAAGTTCAATGACATGACAATTAACATGAACAGATGCATTTCAAGCACATCATACTACTACTGGGATGATAGAACTCACATGCACAGGAAGAGGAACAGCCAGATGAATCCCAAACCTAGAAATACCACCAACAAGCAACCTACAAACCATACGTGTACATGTACAACAAAATCACAAACCCTAACACTACGAATGGTAGAACTACAGATACACAACGCAAGCAGACGAATCAAATACGTAATCTTAAACAGCAGAAATCAGAAACCCTAACCCACAACCAGATGACCAACATCTCAGCAAAGCTAGAAAAAAGAGCAGCCTCCACCGAGCAAGAGCATAACAAAACGAGAACACCTAAAATCTTATAGGGGAATCCAATCCATGGGGAACTAGTGACGGACATCCATGGCGAACTAGTCAAAGCACAAAGCAGAAGCAGCAACAAATCTACAAGAAGAAGGCATCAAAAATACGACTAGCAACAATCCACAGCCCTAGATCCGTAAGGTACAAGAACAGAGACAAGGCAAATCAAACGCGAGAAAGATGGGCACGCCACTTATAGGAGAGGTAGGAGAAGGAGGAGTAGGAGGAGGAGCACCTTCTGGCGGCAGGGCAGACAAGGACGGCGGCGCTCGCGTACGGGGACGGTTTTGAGGGGGCGTATTTATACGGCGGGGCGGCGGCTAGTAGTTGGGCTGGGCCGCACCTCATTAGTAGAGCCCAACCCAACCAAACTCCCTCCTTCATCTAAAACAAACAAAAAAAAAAAAACTCAGTGAGCACCTCATCACCACAACCCACCCAAGCTGCATGAGTGTCCTCCTCCTCCTCCTTTGCAGGCAATTGGCTGCGATCCGGGCATCCCGCCTCAGGGAGAATATCAGGTGCTCCCGGAGCACCTGAGCTTAGGTGCTCCGATGCAACCTCGACCGCTGGATTGTGATCCAATGGGCAGCATCATGGGGCTGTGGATCAAAGCATTATTTCAGGAATGTTCGTGGCGTTTTCTGCAAAACATTGGTGCTGGATTTGTCTTTTTTTTTCTTAATGTGTGTTTCGAATTTTGATTCAAAATTTTTAGGGATTGTACACTCATGTGATGTGAACATCCAGAATTTTTTTTCGGAATTTTTTGAAACATATAGATGCACATTTTGAAAATTTGGAGCATGGGAGCACCAAAATGAATGGGAGCACTAGATATTCTCCCCCCGCCTCAAGCCGCTGCTCCGGCGTGAAAACGGCAAGTTGGCGGCATGGAAGGGAAGGAGAGGGTAGAAAACATCTGCATGAATTTGTACAAGTTGAGAAAACACTATATTTCTTTTCTTTCTTTATAGCATGCATGCAATCAATCTGTATCATGAACAAATGTAGCAGCTGACTGACCATACAACAAACTCTGAAACTCTGTTCCAAATCATACATACATGCACACTGTTCCAAATCTGAAACCGCGCCTCTTTGAGTCCTGTACGGGAGAAGGGTGATAAGGTTTTTGGGGAGCACTCCGCGCGACTACTGACTTCTTCATCACGGACTCCGACGACTACTTCCCCGACGACGACTTCTTCCCCGACGTCGACAACCTCATCAACGACATGGCTGGAGAGGATGTCGACCCCAAGTCTAGTGCTTCTGTTGCAGCTGTCCCGTACGTGTTCTTGCTCTTTCTGTTACAAGTCCTGCCACAGTTCTTTGCTCTAGTTTCTGCCCTACATATGTTAGGTTCTACTTCATATTTGCAACTTCATCTAGTGTCTGTTCTAGATGTGTTTAGTTCAAGTTCATATATGCAGATGCTATTTACCTTCTCTTTGTCAGATTGCATGACTTGCTCTATCTCTGCTATATTAGTCATGCTTTATTTAGCATTTCCGTTAATAAAATCATTCGGTAAATTGCTCATATTCCCAACAATCCAAAAACCTTATCATAGACAATTTATCCCAAGTGGTTTTGCTGCTTCCATGAGACCCCCTATATTTGAGGGTATCCACTATAAGAGGTGGCGCGTGAGAGCAGTCTTATGGTTTCAAACCATGAGTTGCTATGACACCACACTTGGCAAACCTGAAGGGGAGTATGATGCCCAACAGGAACAAGTTTTTTAGAAAATGAATACTCTGTTTAAGGCTGCTCTCTTAGGTGTTCTTGGTGAGAACATAGTTGATGCTTATGCGTCAATTGATAATGGAAAAGATATGTGGGATGCACTCGAGGCAAAGTTTGGGGTCTCGGATGCTGGCACTGAGTTGTACATCATGAAGCAATTCTATGATTACAGGATGACTGAAGAACGCTCCGTGGTTGAGCAAGCTCATGAGATATAGCCATTTGCTAGAGAACTTGAGCACTTCAATTGTATGCTACTGGACAAGTTTGTTGCCGAGGTATCATCACTAAGCTTCCTCCTTCATGGAGGAACTTTGCTACCTTACTGAAACATAAGAGGCAGGAGTTTTCCGTTCCGGATCTCATTGGTACTCTTGATGTGGAAGAAAAGGCGAGAGCAAAGGACACATGTGCTCGAGTTATTGAGGGAGGATCTAGTGCCAATCTGGTACAGAAGCAGAACTTCCAGCCCACAAGTTCAAGAACAAGGGCAAGTTTGATGGTAAAGCAAAGTTTGATGGGAAGAACAAGACTGTGCAGCACAAGAACTTCAAGAAGAAGAATGACAAGAAGAAAGGTGTTTGTCATGTGTGTGGGGATCCTGATCATTGGGCTCCTAGTTGCCCTAATCGCTATAACAAGCGTCATCCTAGGAAAGGCGGCAAGACCGCTAATGTTGTCATTGGAGACACTGACATGAAGGATGCTGGGTATGGTATATTTCCCACTATTCTTTCAGTATGTCATTCTCCTGATTGGTTGATTGACACGGGTGCTAATGTGCATGTATACGGCGATATTTCCATGTTTTTCGTCTTATCAGACTGTAGGGACTTCAACCGTGCTGATGGGCAACGGTTCAAGTGCTTTTGTTCGTGGTGTTGGCACGATCGATCTGAAGTTTACTTCAGGGAAGATCGTGCGGCTGAAGAACGTGTGAGGGAGTCCTGGATTAGGGGGTGTTCGGATAGCCGAACTATACCTTCAAGCCGGACTCCTGGACTATGAAGATACAAGATTGAAGACTGTGTCCCGTGTCCGGAAGGGACTTTCCTTGGCGTGGAAGGCAAGCTTGGCGATATGGATGTTCAGATCTCCTACCATTGTAACCGACTCTGTGTAACCCTAACCCTATCCAGTGTCTATATAAACCGGAGGGTTTTAGTCCATAGGACAACATACACATCAACAATCATACCTTAGGCTAGCTTCTAGGGTTTAGCCTCTCTGATCTCGTGGTAGATCAACTCTTGTAATACCCATACCATCAATATTAATCAAGCAGGATGTAGGGTTTTACCTCCATCGAGAGGGCCCGAACCTGGGTAAAACTTCGTGTCCCCTGCCTCCTGTTACCATCCGGCCTAGACGCACAGTTCGGGACCCCCTACCCGAGATCCGCCGGTTTTGACACCGACATTGGTGCTTTCATTGAGAGTTCCTCTGTGCCATCGCCGTCAGGCCCGATGGCTCCTACAATCATCAATGGCGATGCAGTCCAGGGTGAGACCTTCCTCC